AACCAGGAAAGCGCACCCTCCTCGTCGTCCTCCTCCTCCTCTTCGTCCTCCTCCTCTTCCTCCTCCTCCTCCTCCTCCTCCTCCTCGTGCTCCTTTTCCTCCTCGTCCTCCTCGTCATCGTCCTCCTCCTCCTCCTCCTCCTCCTTGTCCTCCTCCTCGTCCCTCTCGTCCTGGAGGTTGTCTGTCTCCAAGAAAACAGCCAGGAGAAGCACGTCGTTAAATCCGCAGGTGAAGGCTCTCTTCCTCGGCGTTTCGGCACTGAGCGAAAGGAGGGGGCGGGGGTGGTCTGGCTCTGGACCTCTGCTTATTGCGACTGTTTGCAACAGTGCTTCCTATGGGGGGGACTCCACCTGCTTGAATCAGGGGCCACACAAAGCCAAAATCTATTCCATGGGGGAGGGGGGGCGTTGCGAAGGCCCGCGCCGATTGGCAAAACAATGAATTACAAGGGGAAGTCCGCGGCGTTTCGACTTCGATCGGCGGTGCTTCGGCCACACTCCCAAGACAATCTGTTGAGCAGGCCCGCTGCACGGTCCCGGCGATGATTCCGCGTTGGCCTGGTGCGTCGTTTTCCTTGTCCGTCGTGAGGGACAGCCCCTTTGAGGGGAAGCGGACTCTCCCCTCGACCAGGAAAGGCAGATCGGTACGCGGTGCACAGACCAGCGAACACAAGGACACACGTGCATCCCAGGTCAAGCCGCAACGCAACTGTGCGCGTGAGATGCCGGTGCCTTCCGCCCAGCGCCGCCTCGTCCTCACTGGCCGCCCGAACATGAGCAATAACCTTCCGCCCGAGGTTTTCCGCTGCTCGCACACTCAAACATGCGACCAGGATGCAGCGGCGACGAGCCGCTACAGGCCAGCCTGACCAATGCACAAGCCCAGACGGGCGGCGGCGACGGGCGGCGACATGCCGCCTGAACCAACGCACAGGTCCAGTTCCCCAGTTCCCCATAAGAGCACTGTTTCGGGAGCCTTCCGCCTCGACTCTGCCACCGCTCGGGGGGATCTGGGGAGGAGGACTGGGGACCGGGGGAGCAAGAGCAAAGGAGCGAACGAAGGCGGCGACGTTTCGTTTCGTTTCGTTTCGAGCTGGGCCCGACGGCGCCACGCAGAAGTTCGAGAGAAAGCAAGCCAGAACATTACCTGAGGGTACATCGCCATTCAAACCAACCCTATAGCCCATCAGTCCAAGCGTGCTCAATGTAGGGTTTGGCACGCCAATCGAAACCATAAAAGTTGTAGAAATCCTGCTCCCATCTCCAAATGCCGACAATCCTGTGGTGCAGCTGGGACCCCAGGGAGTGTTCCATGGAGGACATCCAGGCGCGGCCGTGCTATCTGATAACGCGATAGGCAACTTGAAGAGGCCCAGGTCATGCCCTGGGATGTCCGGCCCGGGTCCAGGGTTCGATGTCATGGCGGATCCGAATTTCTGCGACAAGGGCCATGGCTGATTCCATATACTCGGCCGTTGTGTCGGCACAAAGGGGGGCGAACCACTCGCCGTAGCATAGTGTTACATGGAGACATGCGGCTGACACCACAGACTGATAAGTGTAGGCTGCCTGTGACATACGCGAGGGCGGGGCGGGCGCATTCATCTAACGCCTTGAGGCGCCTGCACAGGCTTATTGTCGTGTTATTGAGCAAATTCCTACGCGCGGCCAGCGTGCGCAACGCTCGCTGGGTTATATGCCCAACTTCCCCCGTGCAGCTGCGATCAAAGGATAGATGCGTGCCTAAAACTTTGAATCCAGCAGCTCGGTCATGGCAGGGGGGCAGCGCGCCTCTCACGCGAAGGGTGCCCATACATGTCGGATAGGTGTGACACCACTCCATCTCATCAACAAGGCCCTCCAGACCTCTTTTACCTGAAATGCGTAACTAGGCTTCTGCTATGTGCTGGGCCATTGAAGCAGGGCGGGCCAGGATCACGAACTTGTCAATGCCAACTGAACCAAACTAGCACTCGGTATTCTTTTCCTGGCATCGCGAGACACCCCCCGCCGTTTTTTCCCCCACATCCAAAGTGGGGTTCTTGTTTTCTCTGCACACCCCGCGCAGGAACACTCACCCCACCCCCTCTCCTCTTCTGCCTTCGCACACTCACTCACTCACTCATCATCATCACCACTCACTCACACTCACACTCACTCACACTCTCTCATCATCAACATCAGCATCATCACTCGCGCTCTCTCACACGCTCAGTCGCTCACATACTCGTCATCATCATCATCATCATCAGCATCATCATCATCATCATCATCATCATCATCATCATCATCATCATCATCATCATCACTCGCACTCTGTCACACGCGCATTCATCCACATACTCACCTGGAGGAAGTCTCAGGCGGGAGCTTCGTCTGTGAGTGAATTGTGAGGAAGTCTCAGGCGGGAGCCCCTTCCCTATGGGGCCCGCACTTCATGTTGGTAATCCGAGCGGGTCATCCGAAACGTGTAACTGTCGTCACTTTTGGGGCTCTTGAGGCATGAATATGGAAGACGTCTCGAGCGGGAGCCTCGTCTGTGAGTGAATTGCGAGGAAGTCTCGGGCGGGAGCCCCCTCCCTATGGGGCCCGCCCTGATGTTGGTAATCCGAGCGGGTCATCCGAAACGTGTAACTGTCGTCACGTTTGGGCTCTTGAGGCATGAATATGGAGGAAGTCTCGAGCGGGAGCCTCGTCTGTGAGTGAATTGCGAGGAAATCTCTGGCGGGAACCCCCTCCCTATGGGGCCCGCACTTCATGTTGGTAATCCGAACGGGTCATCCGCAACGTGCAACTGTCGTCCCTTTTGGGCTCTGGAGGCCTGACTATGAAGGAAATCTCGAGCGGGAACCTCGTCTGTGAGTGAATTGCGAGGAAGTCTCTGGCGGGACCCCCCTCCCTATGGAGCCCGCGCTTCATGTTGGTAATCCGAGCGGGTCATCCGAAACGTGTAACTGTCGTCACTCTTGGGCTCTTGAGGCCTGACTATGGAGGAAGTCTCGAGCGGGAGCCTCGTCTGTGAGTGAATTGCGAGGAAGTCTCGGGCGGGAGCCCCCTCCCTATGTGGCCCGCCCTGATGTTGGTAATCCGAGCGGGTCATCCGAAACGTGTAACTGTCGTCACTTTTGGGCTCTTGAGGCCTGAATATGGAGGAAATCTTGAGCGGGAGCCTCGTGTGTGAGTGAATTGTGAGGAAGTCTCTGGCGGGAGCCCCCTCCCTATGGGGCCCGCACTTCATGTTGGTAATCCGAGCGGGTCATCCGAAACGTATAGCTGTCGTCACTTTTGGGCTCTTGAGGCATGAATATGGCGGAAGTCTCGAGCGGGAGCCTCGTCTGTGAGTGAATTGCGAGGAAGTCTCTGGCGGGAGCTCCCTCCCTATGGGGCCCGCGCTTCATGTTCGAATCCGAGCGGGTCATCCGCAACGTGCAACTGTCGTCACTTTTGGGCTCTTGAGACCTGAATATGGAGGAAGTCTCGAGCGGGAGCCTCGTCTGTGAGTGAATTGCGAGGAAGTCTCAGGCGGGAACCCCCTCCCTACGGGGCCCGCTTCCCGAGGCGCTGGCCGAGGCGGCGACGGCGCTGAGGAAACTGGATTTGCTTGTCCCGACGAGGGGGAAGGGGAGGTGCACATGGAGAAAAGGCAGGGGGATGAGGAGGGAAGGAGCATTGGGGGAGGCCGACGACGAGGAGGAGGTGGCGCGAGAGGAGGAGGAGGAGGAGGAGGAGGAGGAGGAGGAGGAGGAGGAGGAGGAGGAGGAGAAGGAGGAGAAAGAGGAGGAGGAAGAGAAATAGAAGGGGGAAAAGAGGGCAGTGCGGGGGGCGAGAGGAGAGGGTGTCCGCCAGGGGGAGGAGGAAAGGGCAAAGGGTAAGCTAAACAGAGTATCGTGTGGGGTCCTACCATCGGATTTCTTTTGTTGTTTTCTCTCTCTTTCTCTCTCTCGTTCTTTTTTCTTTTGTTCTGCAACTGCCCCGACACTTTCGGGGGTCCGCGCCAAGGAAAACATTGCTCAACTCGAAAGCGGCTGGGCCGCCCCTGGATGAAGCTTCTCTCTTGGCGGAGTCTATCCGTCGCGGGCTCGCCTGGCAAACGGGCGGGGGTTGGGAATGGCGAATTTCCCGGATCCAGAAATCGATGGCGACACGGGACATTCCGCGTTCATCGCGCCTTCTAGCTAGGACGTGGTGCCTTATGTTATCATAAAGCTTCGGGTGTCGCCTCCTACAATGACCGAGGGCGGGTCCTTCTTATCCGCAGATTTTCTCTACCAGGTGGCGAAAGCTATATGCGATCTCGCGGGCTTGGTGCGAAAGGCGAAACAACGAACTGGCACCCAGGTCCGTTCATTTCCAGAACTGGGTGCTGGCCCTCCAGGACCATCATGGACTGGATTTTCAGCTAGACGGAGACCTGGGCGATCGGGCGGAACTCGGCAACTCGGGGGGCCCCAGAATTGTTTTCTTCCGAATCAGCTGGGCCGTGTGCTTTTGCCAGGCCTCATCAACGTGCTCAGTGACATGGTTTCTCAGATGCAGGCGGAGGGCCTCAGGGACACACACATATATATATATATATACATATATGTATGTATACATATATATATATATATATATATATATATATTCAGCATGTCAGCCCCGAACCCATGGGGCATCTCGGCGACGGTCGCGTCGGACACCGCGCGCGACTTGCTATGCTTGAGAATCCCGATGACAAGTCTCATCGGGACCTCGGCCAGCTGGTCGTCTGCCGGCCACTGGCGGTGGACCCGCTCGGGCAGGTTCACGTCGCTGGTCGAGTCGCGGGACAGCTCGGTCCAGCTCGGTGTAGAATGCGTGGGCCAGCTCGCCTCGCGCCATGGCGGTGATCGCGCGATGGCTGTCCTCGGCCCGCGGCTCGAAGGCGAGCCAGCCAGCGCGATTTGGTCGCTCTGGCCGTCCTCGCTCGCGCAGTCGTTTCAGATGAGTGGCCCGGCATCGATCGCGTAGGGCTCGCCGGGCCTTCATCGCTGGCGGGCCCAGCAGGTGGCGCGCGCGTAGATCAGTCTCCCGCATGCGCAGCTGCTTCGGGCGCTCCAAGTAGAGCAGCCCTGGGACGCCTGGGGGTGGTCGCCACCGTCCGCGCCGAGGGGCGCGGCCTGCCGCGGCTGCGCCAGCGGCAGTGCCCTCCGTCAAAACGGTGATTGATGGGACGCCCTGCCTCTGGTAGTCTGCCTCGGCCAACGGCGGGCCCGGCCGGCCGGCCGGGGTGTCGCCGCCGTCTTCGCGCGCAATCTCGGCGCACCTGCAATTGCGGGCCGCAGACTGAGTCCGCGCTCGCTCCCGGCAAAGCTGGCGGCGCCCCGCCGCGCCCCACTCGCGCCCTGGATGAGGGCGCCCCCAGTGTAGGCCCGAGCACCTCTTGTCCGCTCCCCGCTGGGCCAATAAGTCAGCTTGCCCATTGCCAATGTTGCCGCTTTGCCCCTTGATCCAGCGCGCCCCCAGCTCCGCGCGCGTCCTGGCGCGCCTTCGCAAGTGAGCCGCTGGCAAAACCAGCTCTGACATTTCAATCAGCTGGGGCGTCTCCTGCAGTAGACCATGCGCGCGCGTCGATTTGGTGATTCGCTGGGCGAGCCTGCCGTCTGGGACGAGGGGCTCGGCCATCTCGCGCTGGCCGAGGTTTCGCAGGGGCGCTTCGGCCGCTGCGGACAGCTCCCCCGAGATGCCCGCGACGGAGCCTACGCCCTCGGATCGGCTGGTCTGGGGCTCAGTGATCGCGGGCCCGCGCGCCTCCATCGTCGACGCGTCCTGATCGTTCGGCAAGGCTGAGCGGTGGACCGCGACGCCGACGGTTTTGAAGACTCCAATGCCGACCGTCTCGCCGCCTGCGCTTTCTTGTCCGCCTGCAGCGCAGCGATGCGCCTCGAGCTGGATAACGCTATCGCTTCGAGGCCCGAGACCGACGTTTGAGTTGCATCAATCCTGCCGCCCGCGCCCCCCGCAATGGACCCGATGATGTACTGCGCCAGCGCCGCCCGCGCGGGATCAGAGGGGGGCGGTGGCTGCTGCCGGGCCTGGCGCGGCCGCCTCTCGCGCTCCCGCCTCTGCTCGCGTCCCCCTTTTCCACCGGGGCCTGTCAGATTCATCGCGTTGATGGCCTCGCCCCCCGTCCGCGGTCGAACCTGGCGACCCAGAGGCGGCCCGTCGGCGGGGGCCGCAGCTCTGCGCGGAGGCGGCGGCGGCCATCGCGAGCTGCCGCGGCGCGCGCGCCCCCGCGAAGGAAACGATCCACTCGAGCTGGCTGGAACGAAATGCGTCGCGCCTCGCTCTGCTACCCCAGGCCGGGCACCAGGGCGGCAAGGTCGCGCGATCGGTGAAACTCGACGTCTCCTCGGATCGACAGGGTTTCCTTGAGCCAAAATGGACGACGACTACGACGACGACGACGGCGGCGACGGCGACGACGTCGACCGTCGACGTTCGACGGCGACGTGGAACTGTGCCCAAATCAATGGAAACAAATGAATGTGCCTCTTAGGCCCCCCATGCAAGAACACCGAGGATCGGATCGAGAAGTCGCATCGGCGATCCAAATGAATCGGGTCGGCGGAACTCGGCAGCCGAGTCGGGAGAGGTCCGATCGGCGGAAATCGGTCGGCCAGTCGATTTCCATGCAGACGTCGCAATCTAAATCGGAATCCGAAATCGAACCCGTCGGCTACACGCAAACGCGGCACTGGGTAAGAGTGACCGGTGGCGCGCGGCTTGTTGGGGGCCGCGGGGAGACCAAACCTGGGCGCGCAAGCCCCTGCGACCGCCTCGTTCTCAGCCATCTGAGGGCCCACATGTGCCCGCACCAAAGGTCACTCTGGCGAAAGGTCGCTCTTACGTCTAGTCGACCTCTGCGACCCAGGAATTGCGTGTTGGCACGGTGCAGGATCGTCAATACGCAACATTCAGGTCTAGCCGTGGCGTTGGAATACCGAAAACAATGTTTCGGCATTCTTCACGGTCTTCAATCGGTTGTCTTCCCACGAGGCAGGTCCTTCAGTGGAAATGAACCGTTGTATGGGGCCTATGAAGAGGGACCTTTGGGGAGAGCTTATTCCAACATCGTTGGTGACTCTTGGTCTTACAGTGGTCGTCGTCCTCCTCCTCGTCATCGTCCTCGTCCTCGTCTTCCTCCTCGTCCTCCTCCTCCTGCTCTTTCTCCTCCTCTTTCTCCTCTCCCTTTTCCTTGCCCTCGTTCTCCTCCTCTTCGTCCTCCTCGTCTTCCACGTCATTATCGACCTCCTCCTCCTCCTCCTCCTCATTCTCCTCCTCCTCCTCGTCTTTCTCGTCTTCCTCGTCTTCCTCGCCGTCCTCCTCCTCTTCCTCGTCCTCGTCCTCGCCCTCCTCCTCCTCCTCCTCCTCCTCCTCCTCCTTGGCCCCGTGGACGTCTCCAGGGCTGCGTCTCTGGCGCCAGCCCGCCGCATAGTGCTTGCACGGCGTCGTGCAGACCACCTGGGGGCGGGGCACCCGCCCGCCCGCCCACCGGGGAGGCGCCGGAGGGCGGGCGGGCCGCGCCGCCCCTCCGCGGCATCGAACAGGGGGTTGCTCGACCGCGGGACGAGGGAGAGGAGGAGGAGGAGGAGGAGGAGGGAAGAGGAGGAGGAGGAGGAGGAGGAGGAGGAGGAGGAGGAGGAGAAGGAGGAGGAGGAAAGGGAGGAGGAGGAGGAGGCGGAGGAGGAGGAGGAGGAGGAGGAGGAGGAGGAGGAGGAGGAGGAGGAGGAGGAGGAGGAGAGAGAGGAGGAGAGAGGAGAGAGGAGAGAGAAGGAGGAGGAGGAGGAGGAGGAGGAGGAGGAGGAGGAGGAGGAGGAGGAGGAGGAGGAAAGGGAGGAGGAAGAGGAGGAGGAGGCGGAGTAGGAGTAGGAGTAGGAGTAGGAGTAGGAGGTGGAGGAGGAGGAGGAGGAGGAGGAAAGGGAGGAGGAAGAGGAGGAGGAGGAGGAGGAGGAGGAGGAGGAGGAGGAAGAGGAAGGAACCATTGAGTACAGCAATCGCCGGAACCGCAACTGATATGCATACTTATGCATACGATGCAACGCGTCGCCGGGTTTCAGAAGGCGTGTGGTGCCGTCCTCTGGTGTCGGGAAGGCTTGGAATGCCCGAGCCCTTGAAATATGGAAGGGCTTCTCGTATCCTACCGTGCCCACCCCGTACCGTACACAGGGAGAAAGAGGAATCAGTATTCACTGCGTGGAGCTCCCCATATGTGCATCTATTCGCATGGACCTGTTCGCCGTGAGAGTCTAGGCGCAAGAGTTTTCGAATACAAGCGGGCTTGAGTTGTGACGGTCTGGTCATGAATCTAACTTCGAACGGATTGGAGCGTGAATGAGTCTCGGTAGTACGAGCGTGTCTCTGCGCATGACCCTGGGGCCTCCTGGGACCTCCAGACACCTCCTGGGCCTTCCTGGGGCCTCCAGAAGCTTCTTTGGGCCTCCTGGGGCCTCTTTGGGCTTCGAGTGGCCTCCTGAGGCCTCCTGGAGCCTCGCGTAGCCTCCTGGAGCCTCCTGGAGCCTCCTGGGACCTCCTAGGGAGGATTCGTGCCCCAGGAGAAGCCCGATCTATGGGAACAGACGTACATAAAACATTGCGAATTGGAGCCGCAAGAGACGGGCAGTCTGTAGTAGCACACGTAAACTACCAAGGACTCGTGCCCCAGTGGAGGCCCAATCTATGGGAACAGACGTAACACATTTAGGATTGTATACACAGGCGGAGGACGATCTATAGAAACATACGTATAACATCAAGGATTCGTGCTCCAGGTGAGGCCCGATCTATAGGAGCATACGTAAAACACATGGGATTGGAGCCACTCCTGTTGCCTTCTGAGGCCTCCTGCTCCTGTGGCCTCTCGGGGCCTCCTATTGCCTGGGCCTCCTGGCACTTCATATCGCCTCCTGGGGCCTCCTGTGGCTTCCCGAGGCCTCCTGGGGCTTCCTGGGGCCTCCTGGAGCCTCTTTGGACATCCTGTGGCCTCTTGAATATTCCTGTGGCCTCCTGATGCCTCCTGGGACCTTATGTGGCCTCCTGGGGCCTCCTGAAGCCTGTTGGAGCCTCCTGTGGCATCCTGGGGAGAATATGTGCCCTCGAGTCTGGCCACCAAAACAAGCAAACCGATCGAGACAACCTTAACATCTGGCTCCCCTGAGGGGCGAAACTGAGCGCCTCGCTCGAGACATCCTCCAACTCTGCTCCGAAAGCGGAGGATGCTGGGGACCAACCGCCTGAGACATCCCCGCCATTTGGGCGCGACCGGAGGCCGTGCAATACCCTCTGGCGGCCCCCCCTTAGGAGGCGCCTCGCACGAGACATCCTCCAAATCTGCTCCGACCGCGGAGGATGTTGGGGATCAACACCGGCAAACCGCCTGAGGCATCCCCACCATTTTGGGCGCGAACGGAGGCCGTGCAATGCCCCTGGCGGCCCCCCCTTAGGAGTGCTAAACCAGCCCTTCCAAATTCCCTCCGAACAAATCCCTGCAATCATGTGTTCTCACTGTTGGAACTGCCCCGTTGAAAACAAACCATCCGTATAGCAATACGCAATCGTGCCATAACGCCAATTCTGGGACGTCAGCGCCACGACTCCACGTGACTGTTGGGTCCTGGCGAGTCTAAGTCGCGCCATAACACCATTCCGGGGACGTCAACCATACGATTCCTTGACGCTGTTGCGAACTTCTAAGGACAGATGCGCGGCACTGAAGCGAACGCCAACTGTTGAAACGGAGCTGGCTTCCATCCGTGAAGCTGTCGCAAACTTGTAGCACCAAGGTTTATGGCGCAACGAAAGCAATAGTCAACATTAGTCACCCCCTGCCACCATACATCACTCAACTCAATCTGCGATTCTTCGTCTGCTTCCCCCGCGTCCTCCGTTCCTTTGTTTTTCCTCCTCGCCTTCGTCTTCCTGCGTGGTCATCAACATGTGCTCTGCCTATTCTTCATTGTTTTCCTCCTCCGCCTCCTCCTACTCATCCTCCTCTTCCTGGTCAGGCGATACCTGGATGCCACCAGACAGTGCTATGCGACACATGTGATTGCTTTTCTTGGTTTGCGATACCGCCAAGCAAATTGTTGTTTCTGTCCGCGTGTTTCGTTTTTTTTTGTGTTCGAGCGATCTGCATTTTGGCCGCGAACGCTTGCGGCACGAACGTGCCACCACAAGCGATGCTGTACATTTTGGGGGGTCAGGGGTATCCCCAAACGCTACGGTACATATGTTTTGGGCTGATTATTTTGTTTCCAGGAATTCGGTACGGGTTGGATTGATCAAAATGTGAGGGCCGCCTGCACACAAACAAACGTTAACACTTGTGTGCACCATGGTTTGGTGGCATCCCAACCACATACAGCAACAACGGCATGTGTACGAGAATGGTTTGCGGGTGGGGACGCTCCTGCCGCAAGCGTTCCTGGCCAAACTCGTGAACCTCCTGAAAGCCGCCCTGCTCCTCCTCCTTCTTCTCCTCCTCCTCCTCCGCCCTCCTCCTCCTCCTCCTCCTCCTTCTCCTCCTCCTCCTCCTCCTCCTCCTCCTCCTCCTCCTCCGCCCTCCTCCGACCTCCTCCGCCCTCCTCCGCCCTCCTCCTCCTCCTCCTACGCCGCCCTCCTCCTCCTCCTCCTCCTCCACCCTCCTCCTCCCTCCGCCGCCCTCCTCCTCCTCCTCCTCCTCCTCCTCCTCCTCCTCCTCCGCAGCCATTTTGGCTCAAGAGGCTCGAGGACCGAGGTGGAACGGCAGCCCGCCTCAGGCCAGGCTGCCTCGGTCCCAGGTTTCCAGTAACGCACTACCTCAGTCTCGTTCTTCTGCTGGTCGCCGCGGCGAACGGCCAGCACCCAGTCTCCCCTCAGCCATGGGAGGCTACACGCAGTGGAAGAAATGCTACTGCCAGACGCCCAACTGCTGGGGCTGGACCTGGCAAGGGCATGGTGGTCACAAGCATTGTGCAGAATGCGGACGCAGTTTCAAGCCTCAGTCTCATCATTCCCGTCCAGCAGGTATCAAATCGGCAGGACACGATGATGGTGGCAGCACTCAGCAGGCCCCCCGCAACAGGTGGTCTCGCAGCCGTGGTGCCCGTGGTCATGAGGCTCAACAGCAGCAGGATAATGGACCCAAGACGTCCCTCGCTCCCGAGGGCACTGACCCAGCCAAGGACGACGTGGCCATCTGCATTCAGGCTGTCAACTTTTGGAAGAAAACGGTCGGCCAGGAGGGGAAGCAGTCCATCCAGGCCTGCGAGGACCTCCGCCTGGCCAAGACCAAGGCGCTCGAGGGCAAGTCGCTGGACGCCAAGACCCAGTCGTTGGCCGACCAACTCCAGCGGCAGAAGCGCAGGCTCGAGTCGAAGAAGGGCGAAGTTGAGAAGAACCTCATCAGCCTGGACAAGGCAGCCGAGGTGTATGACAAGTCTGTGGAATCGTACAAGGAGCTGCTCGCCGAGGTCTCCCAGCTGGAGGCTCAGCACAGCGTGGCAGCGAAGGCAGCAGTGGCAGAGGCGGCTGCGCGCCTCAACGGCCCTGCCAACAAGGAAGACACGACCTTGCTCAACTTTGTGGACAGCAGGTTCCCGCAGGGCCTGCCAGCCCACATCAAGCAGGAGCTCGTGGAGGTCAACAGGAAGCTGGAGCAGGAGTGGCAGCAGCACCAGCAGCAGCAGCAGCAGCAGCAGCCGCCGCAAGTGCTTCAACCTGGTGCGCCTGATGGTGGAGCACAACCTGTTGCAGTCCAGACGCCCACTCCACCTGATAGACCTGGAGAAGGGCTTGGGCCTGCTGCAGCCGCCATGGAGGATGACAGCCACCGCGGCGTCATTCGCAAGCACGCGGGGAACGGCGAGCACCTGGTCCTCTCCACCGCCACGGGCATCCAGAGCCTCAGCGAGGAGGCCCAGGGGGCGCAGGATCGCCTCGCCAAGCGCCAGGCCCGTCTTGCCGCTGGTGCACCTGGCGGCACAGGCTCGGGTGAGTCGAAGCCGTTGGATGGGTAACAACCTCAGAAGTTGCACGTTCAATTGTAGCAGTTGGTCTGGAGTCCGTAAGCTCATGGTTTCCAAGGAGGCCAAGGAAATCCAGATTATCTGTTGCCAGGAGACGCGTATTCGGGAATATGATCTGGTCAAAGAAACGGAGTGGTGTGCTAACAGGGGATGGTTAGCAATTTTGTCGCCAGCTGTTTTGAGTACCAAGGGTTTTCCGTGTCAGGGTACTGGAGTACTAGTACGTTCTGGCCTAGATCTTGGAATTACCAAGCTGCCTCTTCCTGAAGGTATCCAGAAGTCTCGGGCTACTGTCGTCAGCATTGAGGCTCCAGGTCACCAACCTTTCTGTTTAGGATCGCTGTATCTGGCCGACTCCGTCGGCTTGAATGAGGAGAACCTCACAGTGCTGACCAGTGTTGTGCAGGCCGCCTCCGACCATCTCTTGCCGCTCTTGTTAGCAAGTGATTTCAACGCGTGCCCGTCCAAAGTGATCGAAACGGAGTTCCCGACCAGGGCTGGGGTCCAGGTGATCGTTCCAGACACGCACACCTTGTACACTAAGAAGTCAAAGACAACTATAGATTATTTCATGGGGTCGTACTGTTTCGAGCACTTCTTGAAGCAGCCTAAAGTTCTAATTGACTACCCGAGTAGTCCACATAGGCCAGTCGTGTTGGATATGGTGATTGGGGCCCCATATCTCATCCCCGTTCTGGAGCAGCCTCAGTTCATCCCAGTGGTCGCCCCTGTGGGTCCTCGCAACATGGTTCCACCGTGGTCTCGAAGTCTTGGGGCTCTGGAGTGTCTGGAGGGACTTCTTGAGGAACGAGATCAGTATGCTGTGTTTGGGGACACGGGGCAGTGTTTTCCTCTTCAGCCAGTTTCGCTTGATGCTTTAGTAGCTGCCGTGGACGCGGCGTATGGCTACCTAGTGGACGACATGTCCACCACGCTCAGTATCGTTACCGACACGCCGCTCAAAAGTAAGAGGCGCCGAGCTCAGGTGCCAACGATAAGATGGATTCCCGCCAAGGCTGTCGAGGCCAAGGATAGGAGGAGTTGGAGGAATGCAGCAGCTGCTTTTAGATGGTTACGGAACAAAGTTACCAACATCAGGAGGGGAGTGGAGGAACAGGACCTCGAGGAGCTCCATCAGGCTCAGCTCGACCTCGCCTCACCGCCGGCTGATTTGGAAGTAGTTGCAGAGTTTGAAGCTTTAAGAACCAGTGTACGCACGTGTATTCAGGCTACGCTTTTGGATGCCACCCACAGCGAGCCCAATTTCGAGCTCATCGCCACCGTTTTCGAAGATCTGGACTCGGAGATTTCAAAAGCTCTGGACCGTGAAATCGCCAGGGACCGAACCGACGACCGTCATTCCTGGAAACTTTGGGTCACTGAAGCCATGGGGAAAGGTGTGGGGTGGGCCCACATATGGAGTAGTAGACTGACGGCTTGGCAACCCTCAAGAGTCTGGAGTTCTGCTAAAGCCCGCTGGTCTGGCCGTCCGATCGATATGTTGGAGGCGGAACAGCAAAGTTTAAGCAAGCTGTGGCGAGCTCGACCTGAGGAGCCCGCCCTTCTTCAAGCCGACCTGCGAGGTGAAGACCTTGCAGACATTTCAGCAGATCAGTTGCGCGAAGCCAGTCGCAAATTCAGTAGTACCACAGCTAGGACCTGGGACGGGATCCACCCAAGACACTTCAGCCTCCTCGAGGACGCCCAGCTGGCTATTGTGTGTAGGCTCCTTAGGTCCATCGAGAAGATAGGGGCCTTTCCGACGCAGATAAGAGCCATCGTGACGGTTCTGATCGAAAAGCACAAACCAGGTCCTAACCCAGGTCCTAGCTACAGGGGTATAGGTATGATGCCTGGTCTTTGGAGAGTCTGGGGCAAGCATCGTCAGCTTGAGTTTCGTGCTTGGGAACGTGCTCACCCTCGTAGATATCTAGCTCATCGAGCTGGCAAAGGTGTTTTGGAAGTTGTATTCGAGCAAGCAATGCAAGCAGAAGGGCAATTCTTGGGAGAAAAGAAAGTTTTCTCAGCAGCTGTTCTTTGGGATTTATCCAATTATTATGAATATGTGGATAGGAAACTCTGGAGGGATAGAGCTCAGGATGCCAATTTCTCGGATTCCCTGGTAGTTATCATTAGCAACCAGTACCAGGCGCCCAGGACTGTAGCCGCGAGAACCTCAGCCTTACCTGCAGGTTGTCCAGAGCGAGGTATAGCTGCAGGCTGCTGGGCCGCCACTTTTGTTGTGCAGCAGTACTGCTTGCCGCCCATCGACATCTGGGTGGCTCAGAACCCCAGAGTGCAGCCTACCATTTTCATTGACGATTTCCTGCTTGCCAGCCACAACAGCAAGCCGAACAAATTGATAGCAGATCTAGTCCCGGCCTCAGCCAGTATGCATCAGTCGATCGTCGTCGATCTTAAGTGTGATATCGCTAAGCACAAGGCTGCTGTTGTGGCTTCGACGCCGAGGATCAAGGCCGATCTTGCGGCCAAGCTTGGCCAGTGGGCCGGCCCTCAGGCTGGTCTGGCCGAGACGGCAGCCACTAACTTAGGAGTCGACTTCACTGCAGGAGCCAGACTAAGGAGCAAGGGAAGGAAAACTTTGAAAGGAAGAGCCTGCAAGTTGAAGCTGAGATTTCGTCGCCTGCGCGCTCTTCGTGCTGCTGGAGCTGACACTCGTAAGGTTTGGAATACGGGGCTCCAACAAGCTGGTTATTTTGGGACTGAAATTCTTGGGCTGTCTGTTCAGGAGCTCCAGGAGGCACAATCGCTGTTCTTGAAGGTTGCTGGGCCCAAGTGTGCTACGCGTTCTCGGGCCTTGTCGCTCGCTGTCCTAGAGGACCCTACCTGGAGATCCGTCCTGGGGCCATGCATGTGCTGGAGCATCATCGTCTTCCGAGCCGCCCAAGACCCAAGGAAATCAGAATTCACCCTGCCCGAACTCCGACAACTTGCTGCCAATATCCTGGACAAGCCACCCTCGGGATGGGGAAACATACGAGGTCCTCTTGGGGCGGTTTATTTAAGTCTGCCTAGAGTTGGCTGGTCATGGACCAGCCCCATGGAGTTCATGAGTGGGGAGGGCGAGGTCTACCCGCTCACCACCAGTTCGCCTGCGCTCATCCGTCAGATGCTGGAGGCAGCTTGGCACGACAGGCAGGCGGAGCAGGTGGCCATCAAGATAGGAGTGCCAGCAATTGATATGTCACACGCCAAAGCAGCAGTTGCAGTTAAAAGATTATCTAAGCAAGATCGAAGTGTTCTCGTCTCGTACCTGACCCAGTCGATATGGACCAAGTGTAGACTCAAAGAAGCGGGTTACGACATTGACACCACGTGCATATGCGGGGCCCCCCAGGACCACATATTCCACCGCCTTCTGGAGTGCCCCAATTGTGCTCAGCTTCGGGAGGAGTTTCTTGAGGAAGGAGATGTGGAAGCCCTGAAGGACCCAGCAGCCTTTGCCACGTGTGCGGGTTTTCCAGAGCCGCCCCCTTTTCAAGGTCCCGCGGCCCGTAGGATTAGGTTTGAATGAGGCTGAGTTTTGGTCCCGTGACGGCCGTCTTCCCGCGGAAGTTTTCGTTGGCGAGGTTTACGTCGACGGCACTGTGGCCAAATCGGGCCACTCTTGGTTTCACGCCCCAGGCTGGGCTACGGTAAAATGTGACCCCCATGGGGAAATAGAAGCCTACTTGTGTGGGCCCGTAGGCAGCGCGCTGCCGCCTACCTCCCCAGCGGCCGAATTCCTAGCGTACTTAGCCAGCAGCCAATTTAGAGGAGTAACTAAGATCCACTCCGACTTTAAGGGAGTCGTGGCCTGCCACAATTCTGGACTCCCTGCCAGTAGGAAGAATATATATGACGGGCTTGGTGCTATGGCCAAGCTTGGAGAAGCCAGCCGCGACGGGGGTTTTGAAGCTGCCAAGGTCAAAGCCCATCAAGATGTAGATTCCCTCGAGCGCTACTCAGACGAGTGGCGCCACGCCTCGGGAAACGACGCAGCTGACAGAATTGCAAAATTAGCTGCCTCTCGCCTCCCCCAGCCCTCGGCCAACGAGCGGGACGCCCAGTTGCTGCTCGATTAGAGGCTCAGAAGGTTCCTTCGGTTTGTGCCGAAGGCCCTCGCGTTGTGGCCTCCAATTGCGCCGAGGGTTGGGGGAAAGGCCCTGGAGGGGCCTGTGAAGGCTGCCAATCCCGCTGTCGGAGCTGGCTCAATCGCGGCAGTGTGGCAAGGCGGAGCTAACCCTGGGGGTTCCTCGGGCTCTGGAGCTGCGGCGGCTCCTCCCCCTCCCCGTCCCCCCAGGGCCGCCCGTGCTCGTGTGGGGCACGTCTGGGCGTGGCAGAAGAATCGTTGGCTCTGCTGCGTTTGCCACTCGCGATGCCGCTCTGACAAAGTAAAGGTTTCACGTGAAAAGGAAAGGTGTCCTGGCAATGCTGCTAGACTAGCTAAGCTAGGCATGCAGCCCAATGGGCACAAGTTATTTGTTTACGATAGCTGTGTTGATGAGAGTTTTATTGTTGCATGTCACCTGTGCGGCAGTTATTCAGAGTGTACTGTGAAGAGCCTCCAGAAGAGTTGTCTCAGGAAATTCAAGTCACACTTTTCAGAAGGCGCCCATGCGCGCCTCCAGGAGGGGAGACATCCACGGGCCTCTAAGACGAGTCCCATTGTCTTCAAGCCTCCGATTTCAACCGATGTGGTTGCCGCCCAGGCAGCCCAGGCGCTCGAGTCGCAGTAAGCGAAGTCGAACCCCTTCCGAAGCCGTGCGATGGTCCTCCTTCTCCTCCTCCTCCTCCCCTCACTCTCCGTCCATCTCCGCCCTCCTCCTCCCTCGTCTCCTCCTCCTCCTCCTCCTCCGCCCTCCTCCGCCCTTCTCTGCCCTCCTCCTCCTCCTTCCCTTCCTCCGCCCTCCTTCGTCCTCCTCCTCCTTCCTCCTCCTCCTCCTCCTCCCTCCTCCCCCTCCTCCTCCTTTTACCATACTCCTCCGCGTCGGCCCTCCCCCCACCCTCCCCTCCTCCTCCTCCTCCTCCTCCTCCTCCTCCTCCTCCTCCTCCTCCTCCTCCTCCTCCTCCTCCTCCCCCTTCCAGGGAACCAGGCCTCCTCGGGGCCCGCGGTGCGCGGCGCGCGCGGGGCCTCCATGAGCAGCGGCTCGGAGCAGAGCGAGCAATACATCGTACCGTCCTTTGGGGCGGCGCGCATCAGCCCGCACTGGGCCCCGGAGGATACTCCAGACCCAACGGCATGGACTCTCCAGGGAAGCGAACTCTCTATGTACACGGGCACGTTTTCCGGCCACGCACTGAAAATTGCATAAGAAAAAAACGAATAGGGATGACTACGGGATCCTTGTGTATACATCTTTCGTTGTTTCTTCGCGAAACGGAAACAACAGCAACAGCAACAGCAACAGCAACAGCAACAGCAACAGCAACAGCAACAGCAACACGAACAATCACAACAACAACAACAACAACAACACCACCACCAACAACAACAACAACAACAACAACAACACCAACAACAACAACAGCAACAGCAACAGCAACAGCAACACCACCACCAACAACCACAACTACAACAACAACCACAACAACAACACCGACACCAACAACACCACCACCACCACCAACACCAACACCAACGCCGACACCAACACCAACAACAACACCAACAACAACACCAACAGCAACACGGATACATCACACCACCCCGACGTCGTCCACGACCCTCAAAAGGTCCTGGAATTGAAAAGCAGCCCGCCACTGGTAATGTATATGTTCCAATTTCCGACTCTCCAGGGGGAGCCGAGAGGAGTTACAGGTCGGCTGCGACACGCGTTCGCGGATAGGGAATGAAAACAACGCGATGGGAAGGAATGGGGGGGAGGGATAGGATGTCGGATGACGCGCGAGCGCACCTAGCTTGCCCTTGGGAAAGCCAAAAGGTACCGACACCACTACTCCCCGGACCTTTCCCAGGATGCGTTGCGACCAGAATTTCGAGGCGAATCCAGCGGTGGCGACGAGGGCTTCCCAAGATGCCATCAACAAAGGGGAAAACGAGGGAAGGGTAGCAATATGGCTACGCTTTCCTCCGATTTCTGGATCAAGGGTTTAGCTCGCGGCCCCCTCGGAGGCAACTTCTGCGAGGTCCTCGCAGGAACGAGTGAGGGCCGCATTTCGCCGGACACTCCACGGATCGCGCCCAAGATGAAGCCGAACGAGACGGATCAGACGGGACCAAGCGGGACCGAGCGGAGCCATGCTGGATTGGGCCAATCTTCGACCACGACTGTACCAGCGCCGGTAAAGCTGTGCGCAGCCCGCCTGGCTTTTCGCGGAAGAGGCTCCAGGAATGTAAAAAAGCACGCCGAGGCGGAATGGAGGAAGCGCCCTGGCGTTGCGTAGCGTGGCGCGCGCGAATACTCCAGCGTCGCGCGGCAGCTTTCCGCTTCCAAACAAAAAAGAATGTAGCAGCGCCGAGGCGGAGTGGAACCTCCCAGGAGCTGCACCCGACGGGATGCCTCAGGCCCGACGGCGCCGCGCCACTGCAGCACCGAGCCGGCCCCTGCGCGGGCGCTCCCAGACCTCGGGCGGCCGGCTCCGCGCCCTCCCCGCCCTCGGCCTCGGGGCCCGCTCGGTCGCCGGGCCCCGTGCAGCACCTGGCACACGTAGCCATAGCTCACGACGCCCGACAGCCTCTCCCTTAGGTCGGGCCTGTCCCCCTACAGGGGGATTTGGGGCGCAAAATTTAAAAAAGAAAACAACTCAGAAAATGCTCAAACATGCCCAGAAATAGTGCAATCATGGTCCCCAAACTGTATTTTGACTGTTCCTGAATTTCCCTGCTGTAGAGGGACAGGCCCGACTGAACCTTTCCCCGGGGCCGCGCGGTGGAACCACATACACATCGATGGCGCAGCTATTTTTGTTTCTTGTCACGGCTCAGCCTTGAACGACCCCAGATGCATACTGCGTAAGTCCTGGGGCTCCCAACTTCGCGCTTCGCGCTGAGCGAAGCGCTAGTGCGAATAACTTCGCGCTCTCGCGCGAAGTGCGAATGTAGAGAGCGCTTCGCGCTCTCTACATTCGGTACACCATTCGCGCCCTTCGTGGCCCCGTGCGGAACTCCGTCGGAAGGCCCCAGGGGCAGGGTTCGCCGTGCGCCGCCGCGCCGATTTTTCGTGGCGCCTTCTCGCGTAGACCGCGCCCGAGAGAGAGAGAGCGAGAGCGCCACATGTGGCCCGTGTATGAAGGGGCCCACACAAATTCGCCGGCCCAACGGGCCAGAGGCGTGCTAAGATCTCCGGTAACTGGTTCACAATTCTTCTAGTTCGGGCGCGCGGGGCGGCCCCTGGGGGGTCCCCCAGCGAAAAGTACCCCGACCGCAGCCCGGGAAGGTCTACTCAGAGATGCTTTTCCTCCTGGGTACGGCCTCTCAGGCCCCCCAAAGCGCGCCAAGAGGGCCCCAAGAGGACCCCCAGACTGCCCAAGAGGCCCCCGAGACGCCCAAAGGACGCTCCAAGACGCCGAAGATGATCCCAAGACGGCCCAAGAAGCCGCCAAGACGCTCCAAGTGGCCTCCAAGAGGCCTCACAAGAGCGCCCCGAGAGGCCAAAATCATTAATTTCACGAAGGTTTTGGAAGGATTTTGGCCTTGTCGCATTTTCGACTTTCCGATGCTCCAAGACGGCCCAAGAGGCCCCCACGAGCGCACGAAGACGGCTCAAGAGGCCCCCAAGAAGGCCCCAAGAGAGCCCAAACGGGCCCCGAGACGGCCCAAGAGACGCCCAAGACGGCCCAAGAGAGCCCCAAGACGGCCCCAAGAGGGGCCCAAGATGGGGACCACAAACCGAAACCTCAAGCCTTCTGCCCCAAGAAAGCCCCAGGAGGCCCCGAGAGGCCCCCAAGATGGCCCAAGATGCCGCCAAGAGGCCCCCAAGAGACCCAAGGAGGCTCCAAGGAGGCGCAAAAGAGGCCCTACAAGGCTTCAAACATGTCTCCCAGGCGCCCCGAACGGCCTCTCAACAGGGGAGCGTTCTGACAAGAACCTCGAGGCGACCCCAGCCGCGGCGACGAGGGCGCTGTTAGACGCCCAAGACGTGAATCAATAGGAAAACCCTCGACCCTCGAACCACGGCCTTCGAGCCTCGTCCCTCGACCCACGGCCTTCGAACCTCGACCCTCGAACCGCGGCCTCCGAGCAGAAGAAAACCTCGACCCTCGAACCGCGGCCCTCGAACCACGGCCCTCGAGCCTCGAACCTCGACCCTCGAACCACGGCCTCCGACCCCCGAGCCACGACCCTCGACCTTCGAACCGCGGCCTCCGCACAGGAACAACAGCAAAAACACCCCGACCCTCGACCCACGCCCCTCGAACCTCCGTCCTCGAACTCCGACCCCCGATGGCGCGCGGGCCCGGCGCCCCCTCCCCCCCCCCCGGGCCGGCGAGGCGTGCGGCCGCGGCGGTCCAGCGCCAGGGGGTCCCCCGTGGACGCCAGCTGCAGCCTGGGGGCGGCCCAGAAACCGCCCGCCGCGCGCCGAGCCGCGCCGCGCGCGCCGCAGGCCAAGTCTTCCGAATGAGCAAACTCCCTCCACGACATGCCGTACACACTGGCATCGTCAAAGCGTGCATACCCATTGCCACCAACAACCCCGAAGGCAGTGTAATGTCCACCATGCACGGACACACGCTCGGCGTCCACAGGACGGTGCACGCCGAGACCCGAAAATGCGCACTCGCACCCGCCCTGATCAGGTCGGGCAGGTCCTCCTACAGGTGGATTTTGGGGGGCACGTAAGCAAAGATTCGAAACATGCTGAAACATACCCCCAGAGCACTAGTCAAACGATCGCCCCCGAACCATGTCTTGACCATTTTCGAATCTCCCTCCTGTGGAGGGATACGTCCGACTTACAGCCTGTGAAGACCCCCTCCTGTGGAGGGATACGCCCGACTTGCACCTGTGAGGACTCCCTCCTCGTTGTGCCATGTCTTGCCCATTTTTGAAAATCTCCCTCCTGTGGAGGGGATACGCCCGACTCAAGCCTGTTTTTTGACCGGTTCCGGTTCCAATTCCGATCCTGGAGCAGTTTTTTTTGCCGTTTCCTGTCACCGTTTTTTTGCCGTTTTCATTTTCAATGGACATTTTTTTGGAAACGGTGAAACAACGGCCCTGCCGTTTCTGGGGCCCACACAGCGCCCAGAACTAATCAAACGATCGTCCCCGAACCATGTTTTGACAATTTTTGAATCTTCCTCCCGTGGAGGGATACGCCCGACTTCAAGCCTGTGAAGGCTCGTCGAGCGGACGCCGTGGCCCCGCCGCGGTGATCGGGGCGAGCGCGCGCCCCACGCGCCCCACGCGCACTCGTGCCGTCGTTCGGGCGCCCACTCCCCGTGTGTTTTTTTTTTTTTTTTTTTTTTTTTTTTTTTTTTTTTTTTTTTTTTTTTTTTTTTTTTTTTTTTTTTTTTTTTTTTTTTTAAATATATATATATATATATATATATATATATATAAACAAAAAAAAACAAATCGGCACTCACCAATTAACCAGCCTCGAACTTATCCCTATCCCTAAGATTGACACGCCCAAAGGCGATGACAATCTTAGGGATGCACCCCCAGAAACAGAGGGAATCCCTAAAATCGCCATCGTGACGACGCGATGCCCAACATAGGGATAGGGATAGGATCCAGGCTGGTAACCAATTTCTTCCACCACACCGATGCAGCACCAAATCCGCTGCCCCTCACGGGGGCTACGAGGGCTCCCCGAGACGAGCCGCTGCCACCTACTGGCAGTGCGCACGGACACGGCCTCGCATCGCTCTGAAGCTGTTTGGCGGCAAGGCTCGAAAAAGGTGGGCCAGGTAAACGCCACCACAAAAAAGGAGGAGGAGGCAAGAGGGAGGAGAGGTCAACGTGGTTGTCAAACCCTGCTGCATTGTGCAGCATCTGCTGGACATACACTGGCACAGTAGTGAAACAGCGCAGGAGAGGCGGAGGAGCAGCCAGGGGAGACAAGCCCGAATCAAAGAGCACGCTCAGGCCAACCTGCAATAGGTGAGCCGATGCATGTGCTCACACCCTGGAGCAAAATGGGAAATTGCAGAACTGTGCATCCTTTGCGGCCCAAATTGCCACGTCGATAAATCCACAACGGAACAAGAGAGGAGCCCGGGGGAGGGGAAGCGACGGGGGAGGACAAGAGGGACGGAGAAGCGGGGTGCTCAAGGCAACACTTCCTGACACTGAAAGACGAGCTGGGCTCAGCCAGAAAATTTTCAAGATCATGCAGAATCGCCCGATGAGCATGCATCTTGGGCAAGAGACCGCAGGGAATCGTAGACGTTGGCGTGGAGGCGCTGGATGGCGCAACGTGCCCAGGAGGAGCATCTGGCGGACGAGGGGCACGACGACGGCGCACCCTGGGAGCAGGGCGAGCCCGAGGGAAGCGAAGCAGCCGGAGGAAGATCATGAGGGAGAGCGGGCCGTCGAGCTCGAGGATCCCCAGCATGAGAGCATGGTGAAGAAGAAGAAGAAGAAGAGGAAGAAGAAGAAGAAGAAGAAGAAAAAGAAGATGGCGAAGAAGAATATGGGGATGAAGCAGAGGTCGAAGTATGCAACACCACCCGCCGGAACGAGAAGCCCACGTAGACGATTGGGTGCATCCCGCCAGGATGGCGAATGGACTCCGCGGAGGCCTCCGCGTCTCGGCCGCGCCGCGGGCGCTTGGGACCGGGTCGGGACCGCGCCCGAGCGCCGCGGACCTCCCACCAGCGCTCCGCGGCAGGGCCTCGGCGCGAGCCCCTGGCGCCCCGCGAGGGCGCAACACTCGGGCTGGACGAAAGGAGGGGATAGCCAAGGGGGGGGGGTTGAGACTCAGCCTGCGTAGCTGACTTTCCTGGCGCCGGAGGCGGCCATGCACCGAGGACTGGGCCCCTCGGCGGGGCCGAGACCGGCTGCATGCAGCAGATTTCGACCCCCCCCCTTTCCCCGTCCCCCCCTTTCGTCCGGCCCGAAACACGAGGTCGAGCCCAGCAGAGGAGGAGGGACCGCGCCCGAGCGCCGCGGACCTCCCACCAGCGCTCCGCGGCAGGGCCTCGGCGCGAGCCCCTGGCGCCCCGCGAGGGCGCAACACTCGGGCTGGACGAAAGGAGGGGATAGCCAAGGGGGGGGGGTTGAGACTCAGCCTGCGTAGCTGACTTTCCTGGCGCCGGAGGCGGCCATGCACCGAGGACTGGGCCCCTCGGCGGGGCCGAGACCGGCTGCATGCAGCAGATTTCGACCCCCCCCCTTTCCCCGTCCCCCCCTTTCGTCCGGCCCGAAACACGAGGTC